ACCTGCGTGCTTTCACATTGAGCAGCATTAACTACACAGAGCCGTTGTTCACTGACGAGTTGCGCAAAACCACGTATATATTCGCGTGATTTTTTGCGCTGCTCGTCAGTGAACAATGGCTCTGTGTAGTTAATGCTGCTCAATGTGAAAGCCCGCAGGTGATGGAGATTTACCGCTGATTACAGAATCGGCTTTCTGACAAGATGCGCGTTAAATATCGCATGCGATTTACCGTGCAGCCCTAATTCTAGGAATCCTGAAATCAGTTTCTCTTTGGGGAAAATTAATGGGATTTCAAATAAAAAAAAAAATTTAAAAAAAAGAAATATAAAAATTAAATAAATAAACAAACAAACACTCACTATAACATAAATTAAACATTTGTTATTTATGTTGCATGGAAAAAATAAGTTAATCGTAATATGCAGCTACTTTTGAATAGTTGTTCATAGACCTTAAATGCTATATTGAATTTTACGTGGATGAAAATGAGGCTGTGAGGGGTAAATGTACAGAATGTGCTGTATAAAGGTCCAAAATCACTTAATTTTCACAACTCACAACTTTCAAACCTCCTTTGTGGAGCTCCTGTCTACTGCAAGTTATTTTCGGAAAGATGTTTTGTCAGCTGAACAATTGCTATGTTGTTAAACAACAGTACAATCCATTGAACGTGCTGTACTTCTATCCTTCACAGCCTCATTTTCATTCCTGTCAGAAATTAAATATGGGTAGGGTCTATGCTGGAGCTTTTTACACTGCAAAACTGTGAATTTCATTGCATTTACCAGCTGCTCATGCTAACAATACAAAGATTAACCCCTGATTACACAGAAGGTCAAAAACTGCTGTTTAATTCTACTGGTCACAGAATAGTTCAGATATTTATTTGACAATTTGAAATATGACATGACAGCAGCAGTCCACCGAAGGAAAGCACGCCGCTGAATGTTTACTGGTCTCAAGACGGCTTTTGCTATTGTCCAGATTGTTCTGAAAGAATGTGTCACATCCTCTCTACATGTTTAACAGATTACGCACAACACACACATACTGTACTATCAAAATCTTGCCATTCAATGCGTCCATTCACTAAAAACTAACAAAAATAAAAAGACAACAGAAACTCAGTGTTTCATATCAGGCTTTTCACGTCACATCCTAACAATGCTGCAATGGTATTGTTTCGGACACTGTCAACAAATTTTCGCATTTCTGTTCAAAGCAACAAAATGTTATGCATGTGTGTATTGGTGTGTGCTTACCTTTGTTGAGGGGCTCAGAACTTCCTCTGTTCCCTCAGAGTCTTTATCCTGAAAAGCAAAGGCCAAGGAGAACAAAACAATGAGAACATGCGCACACACTTAAACACATGATAATGTATACGAACACACACACACAAAAATGCAAAATATATTTTTAGCACGCTAACGTCAAAACAAGGTCTTGCACATTTGAGGAGGGACTTGAAAATGATCTTGTTTTCTGTCAAGACACAGTCATAACACAAGTATGGCGAGGAATTAAAAACTCCTCATATATGGATATCCCACTATTTTCAAGTAATAATCCGATCTATTAGTGTTAATGTAATCATTAATGCTGTCTATTTTGGGTGATCAATCAGAACTGCTCTGGCATTCAACTTCCTGTTAAGGGTCTGACCTCTTCCCCTTCCTTCCTGCCCCACCTGCGCTACTGCTGCCTCCTGGAAAGTTCTTACTTCACATTTTCACTGCCCTACAAAGACAGGAAACTTTTAGCACTAGCGCAACAAACCGAAGAGCAAAGGATGCACATTATTAACTGATGCTTTATCACTATAGGGAATTATGGGAAATGTAGTTTTGTCACTCAATACTTTCACCCTCATGAACTGGTGTATATTTTGGTAATGTTTTATCACTATTCTTCATTAACAGTATACAAAATACAAACACACATTCATGATGAAAACCTAATTTATGACTATATGTATATTTAATAATATATCGGTCATCTCTGCTCTTGGGAGCCCAGAATTTTTTAAGCCAATCACCTAAAAATATAAAGTAAACAATCGTAAATTTAGGGTTAGTAAGTTTAATGTTTTTATTTATTAATATTTTTTTTTTTCAGCAAGGATGCATTAAATTGCTCAAAAGTGAGAGCAAAGACATTCATAATCTTAAAGCTTTGGTTTTTAATTCAAATAATTGCTATTCATCAAAGAATCCTGAAACAAATGTATCACAGTTTCCCCAAAAATACTAAGCAGCACAACTGTTTTCATCATTGATGATAATAATAATAATAATAATAATGAAACAATAAATGTTTTATGAGCACCAAATCAGTATATTAGAATGATTTCTGAAGGATAATGTGACACTGAAGACTGGAGTAATGATGCTGAAATTCATTTTAATATATATTAAGACAGAAAACATTATTTTATTTATTTTAAATTGTAATAATATTTTATAATATTACTGCTTTACTGTATTTTTCAATCAAATAAATGCAGCCTTTGTGAGCAGGCGCAACTTATTTCAAAAACTTTAATTTTACTGACTCCAAATGTTTTAATATATAAAATGTAAAATATCTGTAAAATATATACCCTTGATTATGGCCAACACGTATGCCAATAAGACAAGGTCTAAAGAGCAAATCCAGAGCAAACACTTTATTCTGAAATGGCTTGAAGGCAGAATATGATTCACACAAACAGAGAGAGAGAAAGATCAACCTCTGTTCTGCAATGTCCATGTTATTCCTCCCTCTACCCACAACCCTCTGCCTCCTTCATTTCTACTCCCTCTCACTCCTTGTATCACTGCCACACACCTCCACCCCATCTTACCGAAGCGTTTGGCCTGGTTACAGTGCGAATACTCTCTCGAGTGCTCATTTATAAATGAAGGAGTGAAGCTGAGACTGAGCAAAGAGGAATGTTTCGGATATTTTAAGTCTTTTACCCTCTGGACTCTGTAATTTCTTATGACTGTGGCATATTAGGGACAACTCAGACCTGACTTTACTGAAAAAAAGCCTGTGATTGAAGAACACAGGGTCATAGGAGTCCATTTATTCTGCCTTCGGTTGATTTATGAAGGAACTAACCACAAATAAACAAGACTGTACCTCAAAATATGTTTACCTACTGGCACCCTGACATGGTTTAAAATACAACCAACACTCATAAAATAGCTTCATATAAAACGCTGGAACAGAGAGGATATTCATCTAGAGGAAAATCAAAGGAAAATCGAAACTTTCTACAAAATTTGAAGTCCTGACAGGACCTGAATAGAATTGGAACTGAACGTAAGTGCAGGTCCGTTTGTCCACATCCGTCGGGCTTCCTGCTCTACATACCAAGTTCTGGATGAACAAACTGACTAGCAGCTGAAGGAAGCGGTCGGATCTCACTGAAATATCCCTTTGTAGACCGAACAACAGAACATTCCTTTCCCTCTCTAACATACAATCCACAAGCCTTGTACCACTATTAGAATGAGTTATAAGCTTCACTAACAAAATTACCGTGGTACTACCATGTTTTGGACATGGTACAATGGAAATAATAGTTTACAACAGTCATATTATGTTTTTGTACTTTAATAGTACAATGGTATTCTCTGTATCTTGCATGTTAATACTATGGTACTTTGACATATTTTAGGGTCCAAAAGTTCATGTACCGTGGTATTTACAACATGGTATTCCAAGGTAATTCCAACAATACCATGGTGTTACGATGGCCATTTCTGTACTTTTTTTTGTAACTGTGTAAATGCTAATTCAGTACCATGGTATATATCAAAGTACCATGGTATTTTTTTTGCAAAGTACAATATGTTTGGAAATTGAATATTTACCTCGGTAATACTGTGTTTTAGTGGACATGTACTATGATAATACCATGATGTTTTTTGAAGAACCTTGCATGCCCTTACAAAAAGTACCATGGTGGAACAATGATGCTATCAAATGAAATTTAAGTACCATGGTATGATGGTACTCCCAGGTAAAACCATGGTACACATCCGAATAACATGCTAGTACCGTGGTAGCTTTTCAGTACTTTTTTGAAAGTGTGTAAATACCAATGGTAAACATTTAGTATAAACACCAAAGTACCAAGATATTTCCATATTTTTGGAAATGTAAACATTTTTGGTACTATCTTGGTAATAATGTGTTTTTGGACATTCATATGGTTTAATATTACTAAAAATCGTCTTTTTCTTTATATAAAAGTACCATGGTGTTCCTTGAAGCTCTTTCCTTTACTTACTTTACTGTCGCAATACAGAGATGGTATCAGATGTTTGCTATATTACTTGGAAATATATATAAAATTTATATCAAACACTATGAAACTTTGAAAATACCATGGTATTTTTGGTACGTGTGATAATCAGTCACCCCATCATCTTAATTTTCACATAAATTAATAAAATAAGCATCAGTTAGGGTAAAATATTGCTGCGCATAATATTTAAAAATCTGGTTTTCTATTAAAGGCCAACTTTCAGCTGGGTTTCCATCCCAATGTGAAGCACAGTTCACAAAAAAAGAAAAGAAAAACGAATTAGGTGCATTTCCATCAAGTTGTTTGAGCAGATGATGGTGTTACTGGTAAGCTAGTAACCAAAAGTAAATAAAAAAACTGGAAAGACACCATCAGCAGAAACAGACGATTAGTTACGTGGCTTTAATGTTCACTACGTCAAAATGTGTCCCATTATTCCCAAAATAATATCCCAAAAATCTAAATCTCCCAAAATCTCCCATTATTCGCATTAACTCTTTTTCACACAAGTCAAAAACCACCTCAAAGTAAAAACTTTTTTTGCGAATTTCGAAATGAGCCGTTTCCATCACTGATGCGATACTTCAAAATGCGCATAAAAACAGGGCGATGGAAACATAGCTACTGAGTATGAGAAGTAGACCCACCTAGTCTGACAGTTTGGTCTAGCAGCTAGGCTGGTTGTCATAAAGTCTTTCACTATCAGACAAGGATATCAGAGCTTTTGACTGCGCTCTTTCCCATCTCTGAGACCAAAAACATGTTTGTGGAACAGATTCTGTTGGGAAGAACGTGATTGTGGCCTAGTCAAGGCCATCTAATATCACACTTGCCACAGAACGCAGTGGGAATCTTTAACTTTTTACTGCAAGCTTCTGAAATACATTAAAAAAAAGGGTGAGGGGGAGAGAAAGAAAGCTTATCTGCAACCGTCTCCTGCTGTTACGCTGTAGGGACCTTATCTGACTCCTGCAGTCTAACAGCTGACAGAACATTAGATCTGAAAGGGAGGACGGAGGCGAATGCCATGAATCTGTATTTAAACTCAGCCACAGCAAAGCCACATTTAATTAAGATAAATCTATGAACTTATCCACGACAGTCAAACTACATGATGATATTATATGTTATGTACTCACTTCTCATGACTGATCTGAACTCCAGTGGAAAATTGGAACCAATAAATACACTTCTGTTCTCGATCCTCACATTCTGCCATTCTCATACTCTTGTAGACTCTACTTCTGGTGGTACATTACATATATTTTCATTGTCCTAATCTCTCATTCCACACTCATATTGGTCAACCCTAGTGGTCAACAGATATTAATGGTCGATGTCATAAGCAGAACCAAGCAGATAATGCATATTCCAAATAAGGTGTTTACATGACCCAAAATTCTGATTAAAACAGGCCAGCTGATTCTATTCTGATTTCTAAAAACCAAACTATGGCCTAATCGGTGTATGGCAATCTGGTTAATACACATGCCATTTAAAATTAAATAACCAAAACATAACCCTGTTGAAAAAGACAGCATATGCTGGTTAGGTATGTTTTGACGCTGGGATGCTGGTTTAAGCTGGTCCTTTGCTGGTTTATGCTGGTCCTTTTGCTGGTTTATGCTGGTCCTTTGCCAGCACATGACCAGCATAAACCAGCAAAGGACCAGCTTAAACCAGCA